TTTTTTTTTTTCGAATTATATCGAAATAAAGACTTATACAATGTAGATTATATTTAATTTGTATAAGAATTTAATAATATAAAACGATAACACAAGTTTTTTTAAAAAAATTCGAAACTCGAGCGCCCCCTTGTATTACAATTTTATTTTATTTATTTATTTATTTTTTTCGAATTATATCGAAATAAAGACTTATACGGTGTAGATTATATTTAATTTGTATAAGAATTTAATAATATAAAACGATAACAAGTTTAAAAAAAAAAATTTGAAACTCGATCGCCCCCTTGTATTACAATTTTTATTTTATTTTTTTCGAATTATATCGAAATAAAGACTTATACGGTGTAGATTATATTTAATTTGTATAAGAATTTAATAATATAAAACGATAACACAAGTTTTTTTTCTAAAAAAATTCGAAACTTCCCTCTTGTAATACAAATTTGTACCCTGAAATAAGTCCTGGGACCCCCACGCTACATTCTTTTGTTCGAATTTCGCGCCCCGTCATTCTCCCTTCTAACAGACAGAGAGAATGGAGGTATATTTTTATTATCTAGAGTTTATATACGGTTTAAGTTTTAAAAAAATAAGAATTTAATAATATAAAACGATAACACAAGTTTTTTTTCTAAAAAAATTCGAAACTTCCCTCTTGTAATACAAATTTGTACCCTGAAATAAGTCCTGGGACCCCCACGCTACATTCTTTTGTTCGAATTTCGCGCCCCGTCATTCTCCCTTCTAACAGACAGAGAGAATGGAAGTATATTTTTATTATCTAGAGTTTATATACGGTTTAAGTTTAAAAAACGATTTGTTCTTAAAGAAAAATATAATTTTGTGTTAGTGATTGATATTGGCAAGCGAATTATGGTAAATATTTTTTTTTACTGATCTTTCTAGATAATATACAACTTGTTGCTAGTTTTTTAAGAAAACATGATTGGTTCTTATAAGATTTCATTATATCATCAATGATCTTACTAATATCGCTAGTACAGAGAAACTGTTATATTTTTTCTCCCTAAAACGGTCGCTAAGTAAGTTGTTGGACTGCATTCTTTACCTAAAACTGGCCCCTCGAAGTGAACTGCATTCCATCATCTATTCAATATT